GTGTGTGTCTGTGTGTGTGTGTGTGTCTGTGTCTGTGTGGGTGTCTGTGTGTGTGTGTGTCTGTGTGTGTGTGTGTGTCTGTGTGTGTGTGTGGGGGGGGAAGGGAGACGTGGACAAAGCCATCGAGTCGTACAGGGAGTCTTTGGACGTGTTCAGGTGTGTGGGTGTGTGTGTGGGTGTGTGTGTCTGTGTGTGTGTGTCTGTGTATGTGTGTGTCTGTGTATGTGTATGTATGTGTGTGTCATGTTTGTATCTGTGTATCATGTGTGTCTATCTGTCTGTCATGTTGTTTCTGTCTCTGTGTCATGTGTGTCATATGTGTGTCATCTATGTGTTTGTGTGTGTCTCGTGTGTCACATGTGTGTCATCTATATGTCCTTGTGTGTCATCTATGTGTCTGTGTGTGTCTCGTGTGTTACATGTGTGTCATCTATGTGTCTGTGTGTGTCACATGTGTGTCATCTATGTTTCTATGTGTGTCGTCTATGTGTGTCATCTATGTGTCTATGTGTGTCATCTATGTGTCATCTATGTGTCTATGTGTGTGTCACATGTGTGTCAAATATGTGTCTATGTGTGTCATCTATGTGTCTGTGTGTCACATGTGTGTCATCTATGTGTCTGTTTGTGTCACATGTGTGTCATCTATGTGTCTATGTGTGTCATCTATGTGTCTGTGTGTGTCATGTCTGTGTCAACATGTGTGTCATCTATGTGTCTGTGTGTCAACAGAGAACTCCACAACGGGGAGCTGGCGCCGGAGATGTGTATCACGCTGGGAAACCTGGCCACCATGTGCTATGTGAAGGCGTGCATCTGTGAGGACATAGACAGCGAGCTGGAGATGATTCTGTCAGCCGAGCAGTACTTCCAGGTACACACACACAGACACACACACACATAGACACACACACAGACACACACATAGACACACACACACAGACGCACACACATAGACACACACACAGACACACACACATAGACACACACACACATAGACACACACACACATAGACAGCGAGCTGGAGATGATTCTGTCAGCCGAGCAGTGCTTCCAGGTACACACACACACAGACACACACACAGACACACACACATAGACACACACGCATAGACACACACACAGACACACACACATAGACACACACGCATAGACACACACACAGACACACACACATAGACACACACGCATAGACACA